TTGTTAACATAGGGGGGAGTTAGTGAGTTTTTTTTCCACAGGGGGGTATTTGACAATTAGAGATTACACAGGGGTGGTATTTGCAATTACCTCATAATATAATTCTTATCAATTCCACCCATTATACTCTAACTTTCTTAATATTACACATTGACCCCGAATTTAAACAAATATATCACATTAACCCCAAAACGTTTTTTTTTTCAGAAAATAATTTTTTTCAGAAATGTTTTTTTTTCCGGCCAGATTCCGGCATTGACTTTTTTTTTTTTTTTTTTTTTGAAACTTTTTTTTTTTCCTGAATTTTTTTTTTTCCGGCCGGTCAACCACCGTTGACCGCCGGTCTCCGGCGTTGACTTTTTTTTTTTTTGAATTGTTTTTCTTAGAAAAAAAATATTTTAATTAATATTACTGTCTTGGCTACTAAATTACTGTCTCAGACAGTAATATTACTGTTTGAAAAGTAATTTTATGAATATTATTTTTCCGAACAGTAATATTATTAATATTATTGTCTAAGACAGTTAAATTACTGTTGGAGACATTAATTTAACATCCAATGCAGTAATATTAATTAAAATAATTTTTTTTAAGAAAAAAAAAAAGTCAATTAACAGTTAGATTACTGTCTCCGACAGTTAAATAACCGCCGGACACGGTAATTTAGCAACGGATACAGTAATATTAATTAAAAATATTTTTTTTAAGAATAAAATAGTCAATTAACAGTTAAATTACTGTCTCCGACAGTTAAATAACTGCTGGAGCCAGTAATTTAGCTACGAACACAGTAATATTAATTAAAATATTTCTGAAGAAAAAAAAAACAAAAGAGTCAATTAACAGTTAAATTACTGTCTCCGACAGTTAAATAATTGCCGGAGCAGTAATTTAGCAGCCAAGACAGTAATATTAATTAAAATATTTTTTTAAGAAAAAACAAAATTATAAAAAAAGAAAAAAAAAAGTCAACGCCGGAGACCCGGCGGTCAACGGCAGTTGACCGGCCGGAAAAAAATTTCAGGAAAAAAAAATTTCAAAAAAAAAAAAAAAAAAAGTCAACGACGGTCAACGGCGGCGACCGGCGGTCTCCGGTGGTGGCGGGTCAAAATTGGGGTCAAAATTGAAATAAGGGTTAAAATTGGTTAATTGATGAAATTGGGCTAAATTGGGGTGTAAATCATGAAATTGGAGTTAAATTGGGTTTCAATGAATTGGGGGTAATTTTGGTATATATAAAAGGATTTTCCTTATTTCCAAATAAGTTTGAATGGGCTGAATTTATTTGAAAGACAAAAAAGTTGGATGTCCCTCTTTTAATTAAGTGCCCTTGTCATGGGCCTATTTGTCATTACCCCATTAAATAAATCATGCAATATGGAGATGGTGTTACAAATCTCCCCCCTCATATTGTTAGTGAAGTAATTAATACTTGGAATTTAATTAGGGATTATTTGACAAAACCCCCTCATATGACATTTCCTATTAGAGGGGGTCCATTTTTTTTCACCTTTTTGAGATAAATCCATAATTTAATTTTAAAATATATAGTACAATTATACCCTCCACCAAACTCGTCCAAATCTCACGGCGTTTAACCCTAGCCACGTTATCTCTTCCTCACTCTTTCTCTCGATCCATATTTCCATCTTCCCCATCCACCCTCTTTTTTTTCCGTTTTTCTTCTCTCGACGGGCGGAATTCGATAAGTCCATCTTCCCCATCCACCCACTCTTTCTTCCGATTTTCTTCTCTTGGCGGCCGGAATGACATAAAATGGAAGAGAAGACATAACCAGAAAAAATTCGATGATGACAAGGCTTAATCCATCGGATCTGGAATCGACAAGCAGATCTTTGTGAGGGATTTTTGTTCTGCAATATTGATGTTCCAATCAGGTACGTATTTGTGGGGAATTTTATTTTGTAGCAACCCTTTTATTTTCTTATTAATTAATGCTTGGGGGAAAAAGAAAAACAAAATAAAAAATCATTACTTCTGTACGTGGATACCATTTCTTCAGAAATTCATTTTTCATATTTGTAAATTAATCGAAGATTCGGTAATGGCAGCTATGAAGTTCACAGGTAGTACAATGATGCTCGCTCGCCCGATATTCCGACCCACACTTCATCCCCAAATACCCATCCGTTTATTCCGGACCAATTTGCCGCCGGTCACCGGTTTTGGTGCTTTCCGGTGCGCGGCGACTAAATCCGGCGGCCAGGAGAAGAAGTCTCCGGCCCGGCTTGCTGAGGTTCAGCGGCTCTTGTATCTGGCCGAGGAGCGCTACAAAGCTGCTGGAGGTGGTGTCGAGCCGATTCCCAAAATAACACTAGGTAAATTCAATTTATTTTTGAAATTACTTTTTTAATTTGTCGTGTTTGATAATTATATTTCGATTCCGATTGTAGTTGTTTGAACACTAAATTGAATTACAGTGTTGTACTGGATTTTGATTGTTGATGATTGGTAGCATTAAAAGTTCAATTGAACCACTTTTTATGTGTATACACTATCCAGTTAATTCTCTTCATAAGAATCGACCATAGTTTTAATTTCAATTTCTCCAGTTAATTCTCTTCACAAGTTTTAATTTGTAGCTGTTTAAGATGTTGGTTTGCTGCTGTTTTTGTTGCTGTCATTTTTTCTCTATATCCATAAATAAACTATATGATGGTTAATAAAATAGAAGTGACAACTAGTCGAATTGTTGAATGAGGTATTATATATATATATATGAGATTTTCAATATACTTTTGAGGCTCCTTCATGTTTTCGATCACTATTTGAGTATTTGTTATTACACTTTTGTTGTAATTTTTTAGTGGATTAACTTATTTCGTAGTGGCTTATGTTAATATTCTAGTGGATTTCGAGAATTTTTGTATGGGTTTTGACGAGATTATAGTGGATTTTAAATTCTTGCTTTGGAGACCGATTTTTAGTGAATGAATTAAATTGACACGTTGTTGTCTTATTTTTCTTTGATTTAGGTTCTTGCACAAGCGGGTGATGGGAGCAAGTGGGACGATGTTGAGTGATGATAAGTTTGTAGTGTTTATCACCGGGTTACTCTAACCTAACGAAAACCACGAGCAACACTATCATAAATTCGGAAGCTTGTAGTGGATTTTGATAGGTTTGTTGTTGATGCATAAGTGTTTTTCTACGATAAGTTTTTAGTGGATTAAACATATATTACGTTAATTTTGTAGTGGATTACTTTAACCTATAAAGTGGATTTTGATAACTTTGTAGTGGATTTTGATAATTTTGTAATGGATTACGTTAATTCGTAGTGGATTATGTAAATTCTTATTCGGCTCGATACGTTTAATTTGTAGTCCACTATATTAATATGAAAGTTGATTTTACGATAATTTTATAATGATTTCTACGTTAATCGAATAGTGGTTTTCGATGAATTTATAGTGGTTTTCAATGAGTATGTAGTGGATTTCAATCCATATATTATGTTAATTTTGTAGTGGATTACTTTAACCTATAAAGTGGATTTTGATAACTTTGTAGTGGATTTTGATAATTTTGTAATGGATTACGTTAATTCGTAGTGGATTAAATAAATTTTTATTCGATCTCGATACGTTTGTAGTGCACTATATTAATATGAAAGTTGATTTTACGATAATTTTATACTAATTTCAACTTTAATCGAATAGTGGCTTCTGATGAATTTATAGTGGTTTTCAATGAGTATGTAGTGGATTTCAATCCATATATTATGTTAATTTTGTAGTGGATTACTTTAACCTATAAAGTGGATTTTGATAACTTTGTAGTGGATGTTTTTTAATTTTGTAATGAATTACGTTAATTCGTAGTGGATTATGTAAATTTTTATTCGATTTCGATGCATTTGTAGTGCAATATATTAATATTAAAGTTGATTACGGATAATTTCATACCGATTTCTACGTTACTCGAATAGTGTTTTTCAATGAATTTATAGTGGTTTTCAATGAGTATGTAGAGGATTTCAATCCATATATTACGTTAATGTATTGATTTTAATAATTTTGTAATGGATTACGTTAATTCGTAGTGGATTATGTAAATTTTTATTTGATTTCGATACGTTTGTGGTGCATTATATTAATATTAAAGTTGATTACGATATTTTCATATTGATTTCTACTTTAATCGAATAGTGGTTTTCGATGAATTTATAGTGGTTTTCAATAAGTATATAGTGGATTTCAATTTTTTATTAAACTTGCGGTAAAAAAAACCAATTAAAACAAATGAAAATTGAAAAGAAAAATATATATTTTTTAAATCGAAATTACAAAAAGATTGTAAAAGATGAATTTATAGTGGTGTTCAATGAGTATGTTAGTGGATTTCAATTTTATTGTTAAACTTGGATAAAAAAACCAATTAGAAAAATGAAAATTGAAAAAAAAATAAATATATTTTTTAAATCAAAATTCTAAAAAGATTGTAAAAAGAATCAAAAGGAAAATGAAATGCCGTGACTTGCATTTAACGAGAGATTTGGGGGGAGTTGGTGAGAGATTTAGGGGGAGTTATTTTAGGGGAGTTACTTTAATCATTTATTTTAATTATATTTTTATAAATATAATAAGGGTAAATGAGGTATTAACCTTAATGAGGGGTTATCCCTAATAGTAAATAAAAATATGGATTTAGGCCTCTAAGGAATTTGTATGAGGGGGTTATCTCATATAACCCCATTTAATTATTACAACATATATTATAATTATAATTTATTATTTATTATTTATTATTTATAATAGATTTAATTGTTATTTAATTATTGGGTGTTTTTTCCATGTAATAAAAACCGGATTTACTAGCCCTTTTTCTCTAATGGGTTGGGCTTCACAAATTGGATATTAGGTAAATGAATAAGTTTATTAAATTAAAAAAAAAAAAAAACGACGTCGTATAGGCGATAGAGAGGGGTCTATTTGTAATTTCCGTCATCTAGGGTTTGGGCTCGAGTGTTAAAAAGGTTTAAAAACCCTTCAGAAATTTCATTTTATTTTCTGTTGCTGGCAGTACCGCCGTCTTTACACCTCTGATCGGAGCTTAGAAATCCTCCGCCGGCAATCATGGGTAAATAAATTTACCAGCGCCGCCCTTCGCCATTTCTCCATTGTTAACTCGGTTATTCGTAATCGAATCTCAATCGTGTTGATTTTTTTTTGCACAATGAATCACGGAAATTGGGTATTTTTGCAGGTATTTCTAGGGATTCCATGCACAAGAGGCGTGAAACTGGAGGAAAGAAGAAAGCCTGGAGGAAGAAGCGAAAGTAATTTTATTTTATTTTATTTTTCCAATTAATTTTTCTATGTGCAGTTATTTTTTCGGATTTAATTAAATGTTCATTTTTTCAGATTTGTCTTCTGCTTAATTCAATTGGCTTGCATCTGTTGTACATTTCTGAAAAAAAGAAGAAAAAAATCAGATCTTTAATTTTTTTTACTTCATATACCTAAATCGGATCCATTTGGTTCATTAAACCCTAATTTTTGTTGTTATGCCCAAAATTTTATTATTACCTACTGTTCTTATTGTAATTAGGGTTTCTAATTTGTAATTTTTCGGACCCTATATCTTATAATTGAATTCGATTGGTTGATTCTATTTTGTGTACTCTGTTAGGTACGAGCTCGGAAGACAGCCAGCGAACACAAAGCTGTCGAGTAACAAGACAGTGCGTAGAGTGAGGGTGCGTGGTGGTAATGTGAAGTGGCGTGCGTTGAGGCTCGATACTGGAAATTTCTCTTGGGGGAGTGAGGCTGTGACCAGAAAGACCCGTATTCTCGATGTGGTTTACAATGCGTCGAACAATGAGTTGGTTAGGACAAAGACTTTGGTGAAGAGTGCTATTATTCAAGTTGATGCTGCGCCTTTCAAGCAGTGGTACCTTCAGCATTATGGAGTCGACATCTCTCGCAAGAAGAAGGCTGCTGTCAAGAAGGAAGGAGAGGTAATAATAACTTTAGTTTTGTTTTTTGGTTGCTTTTTTTTTTCTTGTGTTTAATCTTCTATATTATTATTGACACAAATGGTCTTGTTAAAGTTGTTTGGTTTTTGTGTTTTAGCTAGGAAAATTAAACATGACGGTATTGAAAAATGAACCAAAACTAGGGGTGAAAATTGAATGAATTGGATAGGAAATCGGTACTTCAGAAAAAAAATCCCATTTTTTTCGAAATCGAAAATTAATTCCTTCATAAAAAATGTTTCAAATTCGAAATTTTTTGGATCCGTATCAGTGGACTTCGGAATTCCAATATTTTAGTCATCTATAACATAAAGTTTATGATGGTACTGATATTGTAGGTGTAATTTTTGGAAAATAATTGGAATGTTTTGGAAATAAAATTGGATAGGAAATTGTTATATAATATGTATTCCAATTCGAAAATGGGAACTTTCGGAATTCCGAATGAAAATTATTGCACCAAAATCAATTTTTTTATACCGGAATTGGAAATTCTAGTTCCAATTTCCACCCGTAACGAAAACACTATACTGTTTTGGACTGGAAAATTGTTTTCACTATTGTCCTTGTTCCAAATATAGTATTTCGACAACATGTAATTGCTTAGGAAGTTGCCATAATTTTGTAGGTTATATAACCTTGTTATGATTTACACTATTAGTTATCGACTTTCTAGATTAATTTGATTTAACTTTTTATTTGACTTCACTGTAGGAGGCTGAGGCTGCTGCCACCGAAGAGGCGAAGAAGAGCAACCATGTGCAGAGGAAAATTGAGAAGCGCCAAGAGGAGCGTAAAATCGACACACATATTGAGGAGCAATTTGGCAGTGGTCGTTTGTTAGCTGCCATTTCTTCACGCCCAGGCCAGTGCGGCCGTGCTGATGGGTATGTATTTTCATCTCCTCCGTTTTTCCTCTTTACTTAACGAGTAAATGCTAAAAACATTGAATTATGATTTTATGATTAATTACAGTTCTTAATAGTTTTTTGTAATCTCTTTTATGGGGTCGAATTCTCCCTGTGGCTTACTATATTTGATTTCTTGACGACTTCAATTAGCTCTGTAATAGTGCTGACATCACCTATCTGATGTTGCGTTTTTATTTTTGGTGTGGATATAGTTATATTCTGGAGGGGAAGGAGTTGGAGTTTTACATGAAGAAAATCCAGAAGAAGAAAGGAAAAGGTGCAACTGCATAAGCTGCTGTCTTGTGCTGATTACGGAAGTTTTCCGATCCAAACCCTTAATTTCATATTTTATGTTTATCGTTCGAAAGAGTGGAACAATAGTTTGGTTGATCTTTTTAGAGTTATATTTCACATTTCATTTGTCACTGATGTGAGGATAATCTTTTAATTAGAGGCTCGAGTTTTGTTTTCTTTTTGGCTGATTGATTGCTTTGATCTATTGGCTGCGGACTTAGCTGTTGTAAGTTTTGTTTATTTTGTTAAATTCGAATTGAAATTATCCGATTTTCGTAAAATTTATAGTAATTAGTTGGCCTCGATTATATCACATTTTAAAGATCTTTTCATTGTCAAGTGTTGGAACGATGATCTTCTGTTGGTCTAAATGATCGAAATCATCATCCGTAATTCTATGCTAGAAAAAATTTCTAGATTTTTTTTATGTAAATATAATTTTGATTGTATAATTGTTGTGAAATTTATGCGAGAGAGAGAGACACTCATCTTCATTTCTTTGCAAGTACATAATAATATTACAGGGGAGAAAAAAGAACTGGATAGTTCTCTCTAGTGTAAGTGAAAACATTAGTCTCGTTTAGCAAACGAAAAAAAAATTGATTTTAAATTCAAACCACCGTGTTAAATTTCTTGCTCCGACGAAAATCGCCAACAAGAAGCACAAGTTTCCGCAATCGAGGTCGGCCCTAATCCTTCCCCATAAAAGCGCCCTTGTTTCCCATTCTTGAAGGTGTTTTGAGTGACTGGTAACAAGAATCATTTCTCACAAGAATATACTCCCAACTCTCGAAATCCTCCTCAACTCCTTTCACCGATTAAATCGAGACTAAAATAATCCAATTCTCCGAAATCTCAGCACCCAATGCTTCTCAAAATGTCTCTCAATTTCTCGATCACTAATCGAGGATCAGCATAAGATCCAGCAAGATGAATCGGATGATACTGCAACCCTCTCCACATCGCAATCAGCTCAAAGTGGGGCCGCCTGTACTCGCTACTAACTATCTCCAAAATCACCGCATTTTGACCCGCCGAAACAATATGGGTCAGCCCCGCCCCGTGGGCCCCAACGATGACATCAGCATCTTGAATAGCCCTAACTTGCTCCTTCATCGCCATGTGTGCAAAAAGCCCGTTAACCACATTCAATCTACACTCCGAATAATTCGAAGCCCAATTATTTATAGAATCGAACACTTCCCTTTCATTGCTAAGCCTCGTTTGTACTTTACCACCGTGACGTGGATGGGCAAGATAGTCCTCCCTTCGGACAAAGAGGATGTTACGGGCCGAGGGCATTTTGGTAGTTTTGTGCCGGTCGACCGGAAAACCGAATGATGCCCTTATCATTTCTCCGAATTCGGCAATTCGGGCCGTTTTCTGGTCGTCCGGCTTTTGCCATAGTTCGTGGGCGGAGGCTCCTTTGCAGTTTATTTGTTCGGAGAGGCCCTTGAATAGAGCGGTTTCGTATCCTAGAGGGGCCAGGATGACGTGGCGGAAACATACCGGGCCCGTGAAATTCTTGGCGTAAGTGAGGCTCGAGAATAGTGCTCTCCATGTTTCTTCCAGTTGAGTCTTGATTATATTAAAGAAAAAACGAAGCGATGGTTTACTTAAACCGGAAAAATAGAATTTTTTTGGGTTTATTGCATTCGGCACCCCTATGTTATTTTTTTTTCTAATTGTTGAAAAACAACCCATGATGTTTTATTGGCAAAAACCCCCTAAAGATTCAATTTTTAAGGGATTTTTTAGCCGATAAAATAACGTGGGGGCTTTTTTAGGAATTCGATATGACACGGGGGTGCTAAATGCAATAAACTCGAGAAAAAAAAAACCATGGAATATTAAGGAGTTATTGTTATTACCTCACAATGGCCGTCGAGGAAAACTAAATGCGGTCGATTGGGCAAGCCGGTGACTCTTGAAGCTACGTACGTACTGTACCAATCGGTTACTGTGTGAAACATGTTTGCGTATTCGAAACGAGTGACTAATATAGTTGGCTCTTCGATCCACTGAAAATGATAAACCAGTTTCATGAACGTCGAGCTAAGATCACGAATAAAAATTCACGTAATTCAAATCAATAATTCATTCTGCAGTACACAATGCAATGTATTATTTGATCTACCACAATACGCCACTAACCAAACTTAAAGGCGTTTAAAATAGTTACATTTGAATTTTTCGTGTTAAGCATCAAAACCCCGGATAGGCGAAACTCTCCAAAAGAGTGGCCATGCTCGATTCTTTGTCGAGCCATTTTTTTTCTTAATTTGCCAATTATTCTTCTACTATATTTTCAAACACAGCACAAAAAGGAAGGAATGCTGTTCTCATTTGAAACCAGATTACGGACAATTAATTAGCTTCGATCGCGTAGTTCCGATCACATTAAACTTGAGACCCCACACGAATTTTCACCGGCAGAAATTATAACAATCCAAAAAAAAAAAATTCAGTTAAAAAACTTTCCATACAAGAAACAAAAAGATTCCAAATCCTTTCACAAGATCATACATCCAAAATCTATTAATTGCATATTTAATGAACTAAAAAACAAAATCAAGATCCAATAAACCCTAAAGATCCAATCTTTAACAATCAAAAACAAAAAAAAAAAAAAAAAAAAAAAAAACCCAGATCACGAAAATCGATATAAACTAACCTCAGAGCAAATAAAATCAGTGGCATCAACTAACCGAATAGAATCGATCAACCCACGCATAGTGTGCCTCTGAACAGCACCTTCCTGTACGTATTTATCCAGAAATTTCTCGTCGGCGAGTTTTCCCCCACCTCTCGATCCGCCGCCGCCGTCAATCTGAAAAGCCCCATCTTCGAAATTCGGCAATTCTTCGTCTTCGCCTCTGCCCACCACGCTCTCCAATTTCTCTCCCCCCTTCGACATCAGAATTCTGTCCGGGATCATGCGAATTCTCCCGCCTTCGCAAATCGAGCTCCTCAGGGTTTCGCTGTAGAAGCACCTGAACCACCCGCCGCCGCCGGAGGCGGCGGCGGGTTTGACAGCGTCGACGCGGTGGGTGAAGCCGTTGCCGAAATAGGCTTCGCAGGAGCGGAAGGGGGTGTTGGGGGTCTGCGACCAAGGGAGGTAGGAGGGTAATATGGGCCAGGGTTTGACGGAGAGAGGGGGGTGGGGTGGGGGGTGATGCGACGGCGGGGGGTGGTGGTTAATCGGCGGGGGGTGGCGGTGGTCGGGGTGGTAGGAGAAGTAGAGGTAGAGAGAGAAGGAGTTGAGTGCGAAGAGAGAGAGGAGAATTTTCAGCGCTTTACTGTTCATGTTCCGATGTTGCTGATGCTGATGCTGTTGTTTCTCTCTCTTCACTTTCTCTCTCTTGAATTTTTGATTGCTGAAGTTTTAACTAAACACTTCTAACTGAGGTTTAGTTTAGGTAAGTGTGTGAAATAAGCCAATGGGATGCCGACACGTAGGACTTGTTCCATACTTTTGTTTTTGGAGATCAAATTAAAATGTGTTGACCAAAATTGAGTTACTATTATTGACATTTGAATCGAATTTTTGAATTATAAGAAAATTTCTGGGTTTGGACTAATGATTTTCATTTTGAATTATGTAAAATTCAGATTGTAATTTATCTATAAAAAAATTCTGATTTGATGTATATATGAGATTCCGGTTTTTTTCTTTAAAAATTGTATTTAAAATATCGATATTATTATTATTATTTTTTTTATATTATAGACGAATTAAAAATGAAATTTCAGATTAGCCCCTTTTTCGATCCAAAAAAAAATCATGTTTTTACCTGCCATATGTTACTCCGCGTCATGTTTTACGGCCTGATCAAATTAGTTTGCAAGACATGTCGACTTTTAAGTTTTAACAGTACAGGCGAACATAAAATGTTAAAAAGTGGCAAGTTCGAGGATATATTTCGTGAATGATAAGATTTGAGGACGGAAATCATTTTAGTGATAAAGTTTAGGTACATAAAATGTAATTCTCCCTCACAATAAAAGATTGTAGTGCTAATCAAACTACAAATAAAATCCAACGAATATGACCAACCAAGCGAGTATCACATTCGATTTCATTCTCGACTCCACACAACCACGAGAGTCGAAAACATTATTAGAAGTTTCAAAAGAATGTCTCCACACAGTAAACGGAATTTACAACACGGAAACGATAGAACAATACCATCGACGTAAAACGATGAAAAAACAAATTACAAAATACAGATATATATCCCAATAATTAGAACAAACAAAATACACTGCAAAAGAATCAAAAATTACCTACAAAAGTTTCTCAAAATACATAATAATCCGAACAAGCTCTGTCAGAAGTAGTAGCTCGAATCCAGACAAATTCGACGATATAAACAATAACAAAATGGGGTCGGGGGGCATAATTTATACTTACTAACCCTCAGCATAGAACAAAGGTTGTAAGAAGAATAGCAATGCCACATAGGATTGTGCTGGCAATGAGTGTACGCGGCCCCCCGTTAGCCGGGGTGGGACCCGGTGCTGTGGTGCCGGGGCCCGTTTCTGTGGTGTTGGGCCTCACGATGACAGCTGGCAAGGGAGGTTCGGCCACGTCATCCTCTGTCAGGACCGGACTTGGAGCCTCGGCTGGAGGCAAGAACTGACTTGTCATCAGTGTAAGAAGACCGCCAGGCTGGACGGGTGTCATGTATAACGGGATGTCTTTGTACCCTAAACAACGGTTCCCTGTAAATCAATAAAAAACAACTGAGCGTTAGAGACAGTACTGCATGCGTTTGGAAGCTATTTTCGGGGAAACAGTTTAGTGTTTTTTTTTAGCAATTAAACAATGTACGAAGATACTTGGAGAGATAATTTCGAGAGAAGAATTTGAGCCTTTAACGCCATTCCATTAACTTGAGACAAAACTAGTATTTGTTTGTACATTCTATCAATCACGATTCATGCCTAAAGGGTAATTTGGAAGAAGTTTTTGATTTTTTCTATTTCTTTCTTTTCTGCAAAAAGATTTTGTAGTCCGATTTCAAAAATCATGCAAACACAACTTCATTTTGGAGAAAGAGTGGAAAGAAAAAAAAAAGAGGACTTACTTTTGTATCTAGCAGCGGTGGCAGGGTAGTCAGTTATTACACCGTTGATTTCCATGTACGATACATGTGTATTAATCTCTACATACGCGTCGGAGAAAAAATCCCAAGGCTGAGAAACATACTCATTCCTGAAGAACTGCACATACACCGTAAGATTAAATGCCTGCAGCTTCGGAACAACAGGCGTTTCTCCGACTAGAAATGCCCTCTCTGTCGGAAAAACAGATCTTTTCGAAATAACCACGGAGCTAGCGAATTTTTTAATCTGCAAAATGGTGGAGTTCAAAATATCTCGAATATCTTCATCGATGAGATAAACGAGATCGTAATTGGTTGTGCTCTTGAATTTTGTGAGCACTGCACTTTCGCTGGATTTTATCATTATTTTTTTGGTGGTCTGATTGTTATAACCGGCTGTGCTTAGGGCTTCCAAAACTGCATCGGTTACACCTAAGCCTTGCTTCTGTGCTAGGTAGGCAGCATTCTGCAAAAGAGATTATGATGCTATATTCATCAGGGGCATTTTCGACATTATTATTTGACGTAAACTGTTGATCTTGAGATATTCCCTAGTTAATTACAATTTCATGACACCATAGTATTTCAAATGGGGCGATGGAATTTTTAGAGACAATGTGACAAGAGTAGGTAAAATATATATATATATATATATATATATATATATATATATATATATATATATATATATATATATATATATATATATATATATATATATATATATATATATATACATAAAATAGAGAACTGCAGTTACAACATATATATATGTAATATGTATATATACAGTAGACTCACCTCAATGCTGATCAAGACTCCAGAGACAGAAGGTGCGGTATTCGCGAACGCCAAAAAATCAGATAACTGCATTAAGGTCCCCGAATTTCTGTTTTTTGGATTGCGGAACAGCGAAAAATTCGAATAGGGATTTGAAATAGCAGCTGCATCGAAACAAAAAAAAAAAAAGATAATTCGTAATTCCAAATTTCTACACGCAAACAAGTCAATTCTTACACGTGCACATGTTTCAAATTTTACTTACGTATCAATGTCTGAATTTGGGTCCATGTCAGGTTGTAGGCAAAAATTCCATCCTCTATGTTAAGGTCCGGATTAGTTATCGCAAGATTGCTGAAGTCTGATTGGGCAGCATTTGTTCTTTCCCTGAGATTGATAGATCCCAAGCAAAAAGGTACTCCATCGTTCGATATTTGGACAGGACAATCGAGAATATCTACACCGTCCGATACAGCTTTCTCATATGCCTTGTCTGTACAACCAGGATAGTCACCACTTGCTCCCTCGTTCGAGATAACCAAAATATTTGCTGCATTTATTAAAGCCAAAGCCCCCACAAAAAATGACTTAGTCTAAATTCACAGATCGAATGTGGAAATATTATCTTACATGAGATATATTGTAACTATAAAGTAAATTACAAGTAAAGTTGCTTACACTGAACGGTGTCATTTTTGCCCAAGTGAGCGAAGCAATCTGCAAGATGGAAATATTTTTATTTATTTGTTAAATCGAGACTAAGACGAGAGCAAAGAAGAAATCGAAATTATATTCGACAAACTTGATTGCATACCTATAGTTTCAGATGGAGTGATTGGGAAATCAGACAGCACACCATCAACAGAAAATTTGCCATTATCAATGAACGAGAGATACTCATTCACAGGATCGTAGCTGTAATCGTACGCAAAAGCTGCATCATTAGCAAAAGTCGATGCGAAAACTTCTAGACCAGCCTTGTGAGCGTCCACCACGAGCGAGGTGGAATTCTGCAAATACTGGTCTTTGCCAACTGGCAATATGTAAGACTTAGGGACAATTATTCCCGAGGCAAAGGTTCTGATCAATGTAAGATTATTCAGGAGCGAGCCATATGTTTGGTTGGTTGTGGGCTCCACGTCATCGGGCTGCATAAACTGGAACACGAGCTTTGTGCGGCCCGTTCTGAATCTTGCTGCAATGCTCCTCAGGAATCCCACCTCAGGCGATGAAATGTAATCAACAATCACTCTTCGAGATACAGCAAGAACAAAGCCCCTCATACTCAAATTATGTTGTCCGAAAAATGCATCGTGCTGAAACAAATTAAGCATGATTAGTAATAGATTATAAAAGTTTGACATAAAGGTTAAAAATGGATTATTTATATACCGGTATGTTTAGCCATAAGCCAAATGGTTTTGTTTGGCTAACTACATCATCAACTGTAAGAATTTGCATTAGAGTACCGTCGAAATTTGGGGCGCGAGAAAAAATCCTTTGCTTCACTGTCCGAATTATAAAATAAAGTAGTCAGCACACATATATAGCAATTTAGTCAACGAAAGGCAAATTAATAGCATATGATAAAGATGAAACTTACTGTTTACAGGTGCTAGTTCCTCGAGGGTAAAATCGACAGAAAACCATCCTTGAGTTGAGACACCATTGACATCATACGTCTTTTGACGGTTTTTGTATATGTTGTCAATGTCCGAAGCGTTTTCAAGACGCAAATCGGGGAAGCAGATTCCAGCTCCATCTTTCGTGAGCTGAACATCACACCACGCGTGTAAATTGGGCAGACCTGTCTGTACTGCTAGTGAATATGCATATAAACTCGAATCGGGGAATATTCCCGAAAATCCACCTCTCGCTATGACCAAAGGAGCATTACCTGCAAAAAACGATGGTTAAAAGGTAAGTAACTATAAATAGATGTGTATACACAAACACATACATGTGTGCCCGTGTGTAATATGTATATATATACCACTAATTCTGGCAACCGTGAAAAACTACGAATCGACTTCGGACCAGAGAGATCATAATTGACGAATACAAAAACCATATATATTTTCGTAAACCATCCGAAACTAAGTATACAGGCGAAAGTTCTCGACAAATATGTAACCATCAATTCCACCTTAAGCATGATGAAGAATCAAATGAACCACCAACATTAAGAAAAAATTACCCTAATTTTCCGGAAATCAAATTCCCCCAAATCAATCAACGAAGTAGAACCTCAACACTACATCAGAAACACACGCAAAATCAAAAACTCTGCTACTTAAAATTGCAAATTCGACAAAACAATTAACCAATAGAACCTCAACACTACTTCAGCTCCATATTTACCCACCTTATCGAAATCAAAACAAGCACAAAACACACACACACACACACACACACACAAACAGAGATCAATTACCGCTAAGCGTTTGCCATGGGCTGCCTCTGGTTCTAGATCTTTGAGCAGAAACCAAAACCGACGACGAGCAAAGAAGGAGAAACGAAAACAAGCAGAAAACCGGCCGGAACTTCAACATTGCCGGAGGCAGCTTTTCTCCGGTTGGTTAACTGATTCGAATAACCGCCGGCGGGCGGGCAGGCGGCTGAGTGAAATTGAGCTGTTCTTCTTCTTCTGTGTACTTTTCACTTCTCAGATTACTGCTCTCTCGGGAAATGTGTAGCAGAGAGAGAGAATAAATAAACAAATATTCACCGGAGAAAAATGAAGATGTTTCTCTCTCTACAGGGGCTGGATTTTAGAGAGAGAGAGAGAGAGGAAGGAGAGAGAGAGTTTCGTGTTCTGGGATTTGGTGCTTTGGCTTGCACGTTATATGTAGATAGATTTATTATTATTTAAAAAAAAAACTCAGCTAAGTAAATTTAGTTGCTTTATTTATCATTTAAATAAATAAATAAATGGAAGTATTTAGTTTTAATTAGTAATTAATTAATAAATTACTGATAATAAGTTGATGATCGATCATTAGGAAGACATAATTAAATACGTGTAATAATGGAAGCTGGTTGTATTTTCTACGCGTCCCAGCATTTTTATTTTCTTTTTTTTTTCCATTTTTGTTTTTTTGCTTTTGTCTGGAAGCGGCTTCTAGAGAGCTGGCCAGCTCGGCTAGTTTTTGTCAACTTTGCTTTTTTTTATGTATTTATTTTTTTTGAAGAAAAAAATATAGAATCATTCTCGAGTATAAAAGATTATTCTTTTAAATTACGCTAAATTACGGCCAGTTCCTGAGTTAAGGTGAAATAACGAAAAAACTCTTCATATTTGGGTAATTATAATAATCCCCGTTAACTATAAATCTTGTTACATATCCACATTTGCGGTGTCAAATTTAGTGAAATCTTATAGATTATGTGAAATATGCTCCGATTTATACTCATTTTACCCCAATCGAGCTCTACATTTGAAACAAGACGATCATAAGATACGTCTCTTCGCTTATAAATATCATATTGTAATGCATCAAAAACTGCATTTTTTCACAAAACAAGTACAAACTAGAGAACATTCCACATAATCTAAAAGATTATATTAAATTTGACACCATAATAGTGAACGTGTAACAAGATTCATAGTTAGTGGGGATCGTTGTAATTACCCAAATATGAAGAATTTTTCACAATTTAATTTTACCTCAGAGGATTGGCCATAATTTACCCTTTTAATTATTAAAAGAATGTATATGGAATCACTATAGTCTGTTGGATTGAAGTTAATCGAGAATGCCGTAAAAGCTCGTGTTGCTCAAGTTGTCACGACGAGTCTTAATTTACATACACTGTTTTGAATTTACTTATTGGTTCAATTTTCATTTTTTGAGAGCATTGGCTGAGCTTATTTAATAAACAACAAATAGAAAAAAAAAATATAGTAAAAAGTACATTTTTATGTTCAAATATAACGTTTCGGGGTATCTTGCGACGTGGTTCCATTTCTTGAAATCCACCATTTCATCGATATATTAACAATATTTAACATGTTACACAAAATTCAATACAAAAATATCATTTAACATCACCACTGATTGAAGGGACTGTGAGATTTTCTTTGACGAAAAGAAATAATTCTCCACATAAGATTTTCGTAGGAACCAATTTTTTGTAAAATATAGATTGTGATTTTTTTAATCAAACTTCAAATTAACTTCCTATAACTTAAATACAATTTCATGAAAACCAAGATTAAATACGAGTCAAGTTTTATTTATCATTACAAAACCACTCGGAAATTATGTCCCTCCAACCGAAAAAAAAATATATATTTAAAAAAACCCCAACGGTCAATGGCTTGAGCCGACAGCGCGCCCGCCGTTCCGAAGCCGAGTCTTTTATTAGGACGACAGCTAGCTGGCGACCACAACATGGGTCAGCGCTCTTCTGGCAATTACGCACGTGGCGCCCCATCATTGGACATTTTATGTGACGTCAGCCGAACGCGCAAAACGGGTCACGTTCGTTGTGGGACCCATTAAACTGGGAGCGGACCCGACCCGACCCGGTGAACGTAAAGTGGGTGTGGAATTAGCATTTTTGGAGTGGAGTGGTGGACCACTTCCATTTGGAAAAAACTTTGTATTATGATTGAATCATTAAATACGTGACAAATTGGATTTTTAATTCGATTATACAAATATATATCCTACGATTATTTTATTTTATTATTTGTCTGAAATATGCATAATCAAGACAAGTTTATAACAATAAATTAATAATTAATAGTAACCCTAACCCCTAATTTATTTGACTAATTATTTCCCGTGTGTACATATTTTTATTTTTTTAAAAAATATTTTTTGAATATATAGTCAAATCAAAAGGTTTATTTTACTATATATGCATGTTGTGTTGCATGCCATATTTTTCACATATATTTTAGAAGGATGATATTCCACGTATGCATGTTGTGATATATTGCATTATCTATAAAAGAAATCTAATTAAATAATATAATGGAGCATTATATTGATTATATTGATCAAACACTAATATAAAATATTAATATTATATAATAAAAAAAAAACAAGAAATGTCCCTACACATTTTAATTCATGCTCACCACTAACATATTTATCCTTCTTCATATTATTCTTTTTCAATAAAAAACAATAAGAATATATGAATAAAAAATAGTGTCATTTTCCAAGAAAGCCGTTGTCTATAGTAAAATACATTATTTCATCTGTTCCGTAATAACCGTCTCTTTTTAAAGTATTTTTTTTTATATTATCTGTCACTTTAAAATAACTGTCTCTTTTTAAAGTATTTTTTTTGATATTATCAGTCACTTTAAATTTTCAATATTGTGTTAAATACATTTTTTTTATATTTTAACCTTATTATATTTCAATTTTAATCATTAATTCTCGCGTATAAATGATTAAATAACGATCAACATTTTTGTAGGGTTTTTTTTTCCTAAAATCAAGCCGCATTTATTGTGTTTCTTAATACTTGTCCGAGAGTGAAAATAGGCACACTTATTTAGAAACGAAGGGAGTAATTTACTAACTTTTAAAGCAAAATTACTTATAAAAAAACTATAATTTAAAATTAGAACAATTATGGAAAAATACTATCATGGCTTTCTTTGAGTTTACTTTATTTTGTTAGCTGCATTTTCATCGGGTGTTGTAAAATAAAAACAATATAATTATTGACTAAATATTTATGATTTTTTTATGTGTATATTAAATCTCAAGAAAAGTTTATCTAATTTATCTTTTTGAAAATATTTGAAATTTGAATTTTGAGGTGTGACAAGTTGGTACTTCGAGCTAGGTGGCCCTTGGCAGAATACATTAATTGCGGTTTCAATTGCATAAAGTTTTGGTTATTAAAAATATTAATTAGCCCTTTAAACAAATTTTAATAAATGGTTGAATAAATTAGTGATTCACTCATAATTCCAAGTTTTTTTAAGCTTGCATGTGAACATATGTTGTATCCAGCACATGTGATAATTTTATTTATTATACAAATGACATCAGCTATGATGCACATTATAAAAAAAGATCAATTCTTTTTCATATTTATTATTATTATTTTTAATATGTAAACGTAATCTACACTAGGTTAACTATTTGTGACAAGCTCGATTTAACGACCGTTAGTAATGAAATTCGGACTTTGATCGATTTACACAAATTCACTTGTTCCAACCGCTAGATCATCTTTGCAGAGCAGAACTTGCTTTAATTAAACTCGAGTAATCGTATTAGAATTTAGAATTACTTGACTCAAAACAAGTTGACTCGGTCAATAGATGAAATTCACTATATTTTTTTTTTACTAAAATAGGTGACCACAAGTGGCATTTATCTTTGAGGGCCAGACTATACTTTTCAAAAATCCATGGCATTTTTCTTGGTCAATGTCAATGTGTTAGGTTAGGACTATTATATAATAATTGCATAAAGAAACAAATTGAATGCTTTTTAAAAAAAGAAAAAAGAAAACAAAAAGAAAGAAAAAGAAGAGAAAAAATACATAATAACTGTATTGAATTTGATTATTAGTGTAAAAGATGTGGGCTACTAAATGGGCCCCAGCCCAACTTAGTATTCGGGCTTTTTTATTTGTATAAAGTAGTTTGAGGAATGTTTGCCTTTGACCAAGATTGAGGTCAAAGTCCTTTTTCTTTGTATTATTTTTATAATAAATAGCACTTACCCCCCTATAGTTTGAACTTTATGCATATGATCCCTTATACTTTTATTATAAGCACATGTCCTTCCTTGTAGTTTGAATTTTGTGTGCATAAATCCCTTATACTTTTAATATAAGCAAATAACTCCCCCCATATGATATTCCACTTTTAGTAAATATATCATGCTCATTAAGAAGAAGAAATTTTTGAAAGTAAAAGGGGGTGATGTGCTTATGTTAAAATACACGGGGGTGATGTGTTTATGTTAAAATACACGGGGGTTCATGTGTTATATTGAAAGTACAAGGGAGTGATGTGCTTATATTAAAATACAAGAGGGTTATGTGCTACATTGAAAGTATAAAAGGGTTAATGTGCACAAAGTTCAAACCACAGGGAGTTAAATGCTATTTACCCTTATCAATATTCTAATATTTAAAATTTCAAATTTGACGTACAGAAGAAACTCGATAAATTAATAACCTCGCTTAAATAATAGTTTCTTCCAGTCCCGACTCGGTAAAAACCTACTAAATTATTAGTTCGATATATATATATATATATATATATATATATATATATATATATATACTCGAATTATATATAGATATCGATCTGAATAACTGAAGCTAGGTATTAATTCTCCCGGTAAATTCAGAATTCCTCAAACTTAGATGAAACATAAAACTTTATCAAATTTCTCTTTTTATTATACATATTCTAGCATTAAAATAAAATAGTACAAGTAAATCTTATGAAATTATATATTAATAATCCATGAATTATATAAGTAATAGGTGTAAACTATAAAGTAATACAAATATTATCTAACACCTCATAAGGTTTCAAAATGTCATACATAAAAAACAACAGCCGGCCATCATTATAAAGGATTTCCAAATCTTTATTTTGGGAAGAACATATAATACTTCCCTTTTAATAAAACAATTGTGTACCAAATATTTTTTTTTTATTAATTTGTCTTCGTCTCAAATTATTTGTCACCTTATAACTTCAGTGACATATTAAATGCATTTTTCTCAAATTTGTCCTATATCACTGTCAAATTCGTGGACCATGATTAATTTTATTTATAGTCAATCCCCTTAATTAAGGGCATAATACGACCACCTATAAGGTAATGTTAAATTACGAAACGATCCCTCGTGTTTGGGTAACTACAAAAAAAAACCACTCATTCAATAGGTAAATTTGACACCATATTTAAGACGATACATAGTTAAGGCGGTGGTTGTAATTACCCAAACATGAGGGGATTTTTTCGTAATTTAAACAGCAGGGGGTTTCCGTAATTTGCCCATAGTATGTAACACAAATGGTACAAAATAAACCCCAATTTAAGACAATCCAAAAATAACTACTAGGAAAAAAAATAAAATTTCTGAAACATAAAAATACAAAACATCCACTAAACCAATACAACAAGATCTAAAAAATCCCCTCATCAAGAAATAAATTAAACAAACAAAATTAATAAAATAAAAATAAAAATACAAATACCAAAAAAACGATCGAAAACCCGAATTTTAAACGCAACTACATATTCTTACAACCTCGTGGAAGTTCGAGACCGCACTTTGTGGGCAATGCCAAAGCATTAGCAGGATCGACTCCAAATTTTTCGAACTCGGATTTGTACTTACAGAAGCAATGCAAATCGGCTTTGCATATCACGGAGCAGCACACTCCGGTGGGCCACGCGGGGTTCTTTCCGGTGATCGCCGGAATGCACTCCGCCAGCTCGGAGAATCTGACATTGCAGATGGTGGTGGCCGCCGCCGCATCTCCGCTTACCGCCGCTGCTAAGATGGCGGATGCTAAGGCGAAGATGATTAGGACACGTGTACTTGCATTTGCCATTTTCTTGTTTTCTTGATTGCAAATTTGCAATGTGGATTGGTTTATTTATAGTGGAAGAGTGTTAGCTGATTTTAATTAAATTTGTGAAGCAAAGGGTGGCAGTTTGGTAAATATTTTTGGATTTTTGTATATGTAGTTTTTAGGTTAAATCGAATTTTTAATGTATAATAATAAAATAAATTACTTTTTATTCGAACCCGTGAACAAGTGAGAATATTTCCAGGTGGGCACACATGCATCCCATTTATTCATAGTGACAAAATAAATAAATAAAATAATAAAAAAAAAAGAATCTTTTATAAAAGGATATACATAATATATATATATATATATATATATATATATATATATTGCAACTAAAATGATATATAATTTACTACACAAACCATAATAAACATTAGACTACAATCTTCTTGTCTGAAAAACCTGTTACTCTACAGTGAGCAAATTACAATTCCACAAACAAATAATGAACACCTCTTGGAAATATATAATATAGTTTAGCCACAATATATATATATAGATACATATATATATACTTGCAGTTAGCCAAGAGAATAGCAGTCTATTAATAATTTTTTACCTACCTAAATAATTCGGGTTTTCGTTTAATAGCACCATAGTCGCAAGCCTAAGCATATATGAAAGAACAAGGCCAATTAAAATCTTCTTTCCCACGGAGCGTTTGATGATGATGATGTCAGAATACGGTAAGTTAGCATTAACATCATTTAATCTGCAAAAATGCAAGAAAATTCATCAGATGCAAATCGAGTCTGGTGAAATACTATTTTTTCTGCAAAAAAAATTGTTTTTGTCTGACTGTACGGTAAAATGAAAATAAGAAAGACAAAGATGGGTAAATTTGTCAAATAAGAACTTTTTTCACCAAAATCAAGGCTATTTAGTAACTTTCTTGATTAGTGCAACCTTAAACGACAGTTAACATGAAACGAAGGGAATACGAAGAAAAGTACAAAGGAGATAAGAGAACAATTAATGAGTGAAATGGGATAACAATTTCAATAAATATCAAATATCCCGGCAGATAATTGTTCCAGTATTACTATCTCTGTCATTATTAACTCAGTATTTATTCTCAAATCAACGAACAATTAAACTTGGCAGGTGTTATTAATAAGCTTTGACTTACCAGTCAGTGTGTATCTGTCACGGTTTCTTGAATAAATGGCGTTGTGCCAACATCTCTGGTATCCCTAATGCTGGAACACTTTCACACCCAAGAAGCTCTTGCAATTTTGTATCACATAGGATGGTTGTCGAATTCAAAGGATCCTAAAACAGCAGAACATAGAGACAATTTGAAGCATAAATCTGAAAACTAATACACCCGCAAAAAAAAAAAAAAAAAATACTGAATGTATATTAGCTTTGACTCATAGTGACAGAATAATCTTCGGGGTCAAAGAAGAAAATAGTTAGTGCGATAGAGTTTTATTACAATGCATTAGGAGGTTTGGTCAGCACTCAGAATATAGTAAATTATACGATTTGAAGAAATGAGGCGACTAGAAAAATGAAGCTTGTAAACACCAAAAAATAAGTCGACAAAGAAAACGAACTTAATGATGCGCAGAAGTGTTGGATGGTAAAAGTGCTGAACAAAATGAATTTTCTTCGTAAATTATGTAAACCTGCAGTTTATTTTTTTTTATTTTTTTTTTTTTTTTATCAGAATATAACTCAGAACAAACAAATGAGAGATCAAGTTCTCAGCGTCGTATTCGCACTGTATTGACCTTTCGGTCATGCTGCCAACCATCTATCGTAAGCTCCCATATAATTTTAAGAAAATGAATTGAAAAAAAAGGTTTAAACTTTACGTACCCTCTTTCGACCGGAACACAAAAAACAAAATTATTAACAGTTACGTACCTCAAGTTGATGAACCTTTATGTACTCCCACATCTGCCTCAACACTTCTGCTTGTGACATCTCTCTCTCATCAGCTTCCAAGAAACTCGCAAGTTCTTCAGATATCACCACAATTGGAACGGGTTCTTCACTTTTACTCCCCGATTCTGCGTCAGCCTTCAGTTTCTTAGTACTTTTAGGTCTTTCTTCTGCAAGAAAAGAAACAAAACATAATTCATATAATATATTCGCCAAATTCATGAAGTGAAGTAGTACCAGACGGAGAATGAAAAATCATTAATATGACACTCGGATACGTACTTGTGGGCTCGAGCGCAATTATATGCTTAGCTAGTAATTTATTCATCTTGAACATGTCGGTACAATCAGTCTCGAATACCAAACGGAGCTCGTCGTTGCAAATTATCTTCCTTTTGTTGTTTGGGTCTTGAAGATTGTTTTTCCTTATGTAAATCCACAACTGTTTCACTATCTGCATAAACAAAAGTGCTTATTTTACGAGGAATAGGATTCTAAAATAAATACAAATCGAAGCAAAGAGAAAATAGTTTCACAAACCTCAGTTCTCGGTAAAGTTGGGTGACCCACAATGGCTTGAAGCTCGGGAGAAACGCCACAGAGTTTGTTTAGACCACCGGGTCCACCTCTTCTTTTTTTCCTTGGCGGAGCACTGCAAAAAACGTGCATAAAGAGAATATAAAGCCGAAAGGCAGTATCTAAAGAACGTTTAGTTAAAGATTTTTGAGAATCTACTATCCTTGTTAGAGCTGGCTATTGTATGGTTTCTACATCAACAATCGACAAGGTGCCTTAACTGATGGATACAAATGAGAAATCGAAAGGTCCATTTGTTTACCCTCAGCCCATCATTTTCCAACTTATTCTGCTAGGGGAAAAGGCAGTATGAGCAACATGCCCAATAACTAAGATTTTCATAACGAAAGTTCCTTTTGTTGTTTAACGACGTAGATATTTCCATTTCACGTCAAATGGGTCAACAACACCCAATCAAAGATAATTATGCCACGTCATTACATATCTTAGCATCCGTAAATTGTAAAAGGAAATTTCATGAATGGAAATGTACTGCAAAGTTTTAGCAAGAAAGACGAGTGGAAAATAAACGAAGAGCACTATCATGAAATTTGCTATGTGTTTATACGGTACTTCCGTCTCTTATCACATGGGAAAAAGGGACATTCTTTTCGTTGCAAAAGAGAGTGTTTTTCTACGAGCATCGCACATGGCATTAACACCTAGAGCCCTAAAGTTGTTCGCTCGGTTTTAGGTGCGGCATATATTTGCAGGTAGTTAAATCCAATGAAAATGGAGGCATAATCGAAGATTGAGTTATCAAGAAATATATTACACTGATCCTGCTAATAATTAATAGTTAGACAAATGCAAGATTTAAACCCTAATTGTTCAGCATAAAGACACGGAATTTCACAACCCCCTTCACAAGATAACTCGTTTTAAGGAAAATAAAAACCCCACCTCTCTTTGGCGGAGGCGCCGGCGCCGGCAACACTGGGTGCGGGTGCAGTGACCACCACCGGTGGAACCGGAGGGGGATGAGACAACTGCGGCTGAGGTGGCTGGGTCGGGCGGAAGCCGTAACTCTCTGCGGGAAGATGTCCGGTGAAATTTGGGGGCAAATGCGGGGAATTGGAGGGGAGGAAATTGGGGTTTTGGTGGAGGGCAAAATGGTCCTTCTGCTGGTGGTGGTGTTGGGGAATGAAATTCTGGGGCTGGGAACGGAGGAGGAGGAAACGGTGGATCTGGCTGTGGATGAAGTCGATTTTGTTGCTCAAATTGACACCCAATTTCGATTCGAGCTGCTGAACGACGCCGTGTACGGAGGTGAACGCGTTGCTTCCGTCGCGGAGGACGGACTCCAGCGCCTCCGCAAGCTGCTGCTCCGTCACCGGCGGCGGCGGCGGCGCTGCTGGACCTCTATCACTCATTTAAATTTTCCAATTCGCCACTCAACGCAGTTGCCGTTGTTTTTTTTACAGCAGCAAAAAATATTAACTATAACCCTCTCTCTCTCTCTCTCTCTCTCGCTCTTCCTTTCTCTCTCTACGCTTTTTCTCACTTTCTCTCTGATGTCTCTCTCTCTCTCTCTCTCTCTCTCTCTTCTTCTACCTTTCTCTCTCTATCTCTATCTTATATAACGACTAAATGACGAAATTAGCCCTGCCCAAGGGATTGGGTGAGTCGTGGGTACGCAGTGTCTTGTGAAATCCAATGACACAATGACACGTGTTGCAGTAACCCGCGTGTGGGTGACAGTCAAAATTCAGTATTGGGCTTATAGGCTTCTTTATGTTTGGGCTTGGATGTGAGATTACCTAAACATATGTGGCCTTTTTTGTCAACATAGAAAGACTATAGGTGAGTTGAAATTTCGGAGAGTTTAAGAATGTTTAATTTAATAATTTTATATTCCAATTTTTAATTCAAATTTTTGTACTGCACATTTATATTGAAAGGTGATCATAATTTATTTATTTTGAAATGTGTATTGCAAGTGCACTAATTGGAGTAGAAGAGTGTACGATGTCGTTTAACTCGACAAAAAATTTATTCAGTGTATTTCAAGTGATTGTAGATTCCATTATCTATATCGAAATATATATATTCGAAAATATAATTAGTTCGTACGTGTAATAAATATATATATTAATAAATGACGGATGTAAGTGTGGATTATCGAATCCCAACTCTTAAATATGTAATTGTAGTATCGATGCGGAATCGGCAACTCATGCTATTTGTAATCGAGGAGTGGTGCATCAAATGTTCTTCGTTGGTTAATGAAATTGTCTTTCGTGCCATTAATTTTTTTTTTTAAATAAAAACATAGATATAAAAAGTTTAAGTTATAACTCGAATTGGATTTGTGTTCGATACATCATTCGATTGCTACTTAAACAAAAACTCAACTTCAGTTCGATTCGACTCGATTCATTCACTCCCATAACGGACTTACTAATTTCGGACGGCGAAACAAAAAACTCTCGAGAAAAGAATAAAAGGCCGTAATAATTGGCCAACATCTCGCTCTAATTACCAAACTCTTTACTCAAATTCATTTATTTTTAGCTCTAAATTTCTAACATATTTATCGGATCACCACAAATTAGCACATCATTTTATCACCACCTAAAAACCAAACAAACAAATAAATAAATAAATAAATAAAAAGTTTACTTACTCTCTATTTCATTTCATCTCTCTTTTAGTACACTAACAAAATATTGCATGAACAAAAAAAAACTCCAAATCTTATGCTTAGAATCAGTGTCTCAATTTTCCCAGCTTTTGTTTTCAGGTATTCAATTCTTCTTCCCTTAACTTTAAATAATATTTTTTCCGTTTATATATCAGTGGCGGAATCAGAATTTTACGTCTGAAGGGGCAAATAATGCACGAAGAAAATAATGAATATGTATACAAAATACTAGTGATTTCACAAACGGTGTGGGTCGGGCCGGGCCGGGCCTCTCTTGGCCCTATGTTAGCTTCCCCACTGGATCCAATCCAATTAACATTGTTCTGTAATTTATACTATGTTATACCGAGTGAAATGCACTGGGTAGATCTTTACTATTCGTATACACACAAAATCCACCCGATATAACTTTCGTCGGGTGTAGCATAGAAATAACTGTATTTCTTGTGTTATATATTGAATGTAATAAATTGGACAGGATTCTGGGGGATATTGAGGAGGTAAGAGAAAAATGGAGTCGAATGGAAAAATGAAGGAGAAAATGGAAGATTCGGACAACGAGACGAACCGGAATAGTAACGCGCACGATCCGGACATAGCTTCGGATTCGGAAGGGAAGATAAGCCGACAGCCGAGCCAATCTTCCTGCTATGCTACTGAAGATGATGAAGATTTGGCTAACATTCAGTTGGGTCCTAAGATGACTATTAAGGAGCATCTTGAGAAAGATAAGGTCCTATTTATTTTATTTTAATTTAATTTAATTTAATTAATTAATTAATTAATCATTAATTACATTTTAATTATTCCTTGGATTGTATATATAAAATTAATTACAATTCCAGGATGATGAGAGCTTGAGGAGGTGGAAAGAGCAGCTTCTTGGAAGTGTGGATGCTAGTGCTGTTGAGGGTAATTTTATTTATTTATTTGTTTTATTTTATAATTTAGGAATTTCGTGGGAGATCGAATTTATATGGTACTCAGTTGTACGTTGATATTCGAAAATGTACGATTTTATTTAGTTGTTAAGATAAAATTAACGAAGATATGATTATACAATCCCCTATGATAATTGTGTAAAGGCCTTGTTTGGTTAGTGAGATCAGCCATAGTTTAATTGAAATAAAAACGAACTTTGTTTATTGTTTATTTTATTTTATAATTTCGAAATATTCGAAAATATAGGGCTTTATTTAGTTAATATAAAAATAAAATTAACAAACATATGATTACACAATCTTATGAAAGCAAAATTCAATTGTTTAAGGCCTCGTTTGGTTAGTAAGATCAGCCATGATTAATTAAATAATCAGACTCTGTTCGATATTTAGTAAATCCAATAGCTTTTCGTGTCGACTCAGAAATATTACTGTATATGCATGCATGACCTATCTTGTCTTTTATGTAGATTATTTATCGGACCTCCCTGTAGTTCGATAATACGATTGAATTTTCATCAGATTAATTAAACTCGAGCATTTTTTTATTTATTTTTTAATTATTTTTATTTTTTTTATTTTTAAATATAGAGAATCAAGAACCAGATGTAAAGATAATAAGTCTTACAATACTGTCACCAGAGAGACCAGATTTGATGCTTCCAATACCAGAATCTGGTAACCCTAAAGGATTATGGTTCACTCTCAAAGAAGGCAGCCGTTACCGTCTCAGATTTTCCGTTAAGATCAGCAATGACATTGTTTGTGGCCTCAAGTACATTAACACCGTTTGGAAGACTGGCATCAAAGGTATATTCCTTATTTTTTTTTTATTTTTATATATATATATATATATATATATAATTACATTTAGTACATTTTCTTAAATAATAATAATAATAATAATAATAATATAATCTTTTAGATTCCGAAAATAACACTCCACCGATAATTTCAAAATTTTACCCTCGTAAAACAAAAGTTACACACGTACGAGCCGAATTTTCGAAACATTCTAATTTTTTTCAAGGGTAATATAGACATTTTACAATTTACATTAGAAAATGTTGAACTATATATCATTTAGTGTAGTAATAATTTATATTATTCTTTTTTAAATCTTTTTATTTAGGGGCGATTTAGACATTTTGCATATTGTTAAAAAAAAACCGAGCTATTTCGCAATTTAGCTGCCTCGACGATTTTTCATAATTTACCGTATTATTTCCTATCTTATATAAATTCTAATAAAACGGCGTGGATCCTGAATTTTATTTTCGCGGTGATCGATTTATTTATTTATTTCTATTTTTTTTAAATACTAATAAAAATTAATATTGATATTTGAAATGTATTATTACAAAACAGTTGACAGCTCAAAGCAAATGCTGGGAACATTTAGCCCACAAGCTGAGCCATACACACATGTAATGGAAGAAGAGACTACCCCTTCTGGCATTTTTGCTAGAGGATCTTATTCTGCAAGAACTAAGGTTTTTTATTTAACAATCTTTAATTAATTTAATCATTTTTTTTTATTTTAGAGAAATTGAAAATTAAATATTAATAACCGATTGTGTTTTTTTTTTTTTTTTTTTTTTTCGTTTTTTGGTTATGTTTTCAGTTTGTTGATGACGACAACAAGTGCTACCTGGAGATTAACTACACTTTCGATATCCAGAAAGATTGGCCCTCCACATAGCCTCGAATTTTTTTCTGCAAATGATGCGGATTTAATTTGGTATTTTTTTTCTATAAAAGAATTATATTATCGTTCAATTTTTTTTTTTTTTTTTTTTTTGATTATTATGAATTTTTATGCTATGGTGATTTTATTTATTTATTTTTTTGTAGTTTTGAGTATTTTCAGAAGTATAGTTTGAGCTAGAAGTTGAAGTTTGGGGGAGAAAATAGTTTCAAAGTTAGAAGATGTGGAATTGTTTATAAGAGTTTCGATTTGGTTTTACTTCAAATTTTATTGTGTTCGGTGTAAAAAATATTGTACTAAGTCGTACTATATATATATCTGCAAGTAACGAATAAAAAAGTGCGAGAAACTTGCAGATTTTTTTTTTCTGCTTTTAATTTGAATATTTTTTGTTTTATTGTTACTTTGATGTTTGATAATGTAATTCTTGATTTACTCGTCACGAACATATAATCATGTGATTAAAACTTACGTGTGAAATTGGCACATATATTCCAATTAGGATTGCATCTATTAGAGATGGAAGTTGCAATAAAATTTAAAATGATGAAATCCAGTTGTTGAAATGAGTTTTTTAATCCCGTAAGTTTACTAATTGGGAGTTTTAGTCCATCACATGTCAAAATCAAAATTTTAGTCGTGGAAGTTGCAAAAGTTGAGAATTTTGGTCCTATGACCTGGTATAACAGGTAATGCAATGGTTGGTTGAATGAGTTGAAATTTAATTTATAAAAATAAATAAATTAAAAATAAACTAGTTGACGTGGCTAAAAGTTAGACGATTTTGGAGCGAAATAAAATATACCATTAAATTGATATTTATTTGATGAAGAAAATAAACATTTTTTTAGTATCTATTTTTTAATTAACATTTCACAGTTTTCAATTGATAAAAATAGCAATTAACGATATTTTATTATTACTTATGGATATTTATTATTCTTGTTTTGATATTTAATTTAATAAAGCTTTGAATTTTTTTTTTCTTTGGTTAATTCGATATCAACTCATTCGACCAACCATTGCTTTCATTACCTATTATATTATATAGGGAACAAAAATCTCAATTTTTCTAACTTACATGACTAAAATTCTGATTTAAAAATGTGGTGGACTAAAACTCCTAACTCGTAAACTTATACGACTAAAATACTCATTTTTACCAAATTCAGTTCTACAAAAATTCAAATTTTGTTACGAGTTCCGACTTTAGTTTTTGAAAATAATTCAAGAAATTAAAGTTATAATATCAACTTTATTATATATTTATATTATACGTGAAAAAAATAGAATTCTTTCATTTCCACTAATTTCGACTCTAAAATTTTCGATTTCGAAACATATTTTCTCAACCCAATTTCAATTCGTGTTTTCAATTTTTTTCAAAAACGAAAAAATTAAAACAAAATCAAAATTAAATTTTCACTTGAAAAATATATATTTGGATTTGATTCGTTAGATTTTTGTTTCAGTCGTCAACTTTGACTAGAGATATTTTAGAGAGAGAAGAAGAGCCCCACTTACAGTTGGACTAAAGCTAATAAAATAATTAAAAAAATGGCAGCTCAAAAAAATAAATACAAAAAATTGGCCACTTAATGAAGATCATGTAATTAAATTCAAATTAATTTTTCCGAGAGAGATCAAAAAAAATCAATGGAGATTGAAATCCAAAACTTCATCACGATCTGGTTAACAGCCACCGCATCTCTAATCTTCTGCCACCAGATCGCCGCCCGAATCCCCGGCGGCGCCGCCAGGCTCCTCTCCGTGCTCCCCGTGATCTACATCTTCACCGCCCTCCCCCTCCGCCTCAACTCCGTCCATCTCGGCGGCCCCACCGTGTTCTACCTCGTTTGGCTCGGCAATTTCAAGCTCCTCCTCTTCTCCTTCAATCAAGGCCCACTCGTCTCGAATCCGCCATTGTCGCTCCTCCATTTCGTCTCCATCGGCCTCTTCCCGATCAAACCCAAGCAAACCCTAACCCTAACCCCCAATTCAGAAAGGCGGATTTTTCTTCTTCTGGTGAAATGCGTGCTTTTAGCAGGGGTTGTTTATTCGTATAATTACAGGGAAATTATACATCCGTATTTTATTTTAGTTCTGTACTGCTGCCACGTGTACCTCGGCGTGGAGCTGATGCTGGCCGTGACCGCCGCGCCGGTGCGAGCCGTCCTCGGCTTGGAGATCGAGCCGCAGTTCGACGAGCCGTATTTGGCGACCTCGCTACAGGATTTCTGGGGGCGGAGGTGGAACCTCATGGTCAGCGCTATCCTGCGCCACACCGTGTACCACCCCGTGCGCCGCGTCGTCGGAGGGAGGTGGTCCCAGGCGGCGGCGATCGCCGCCACGTTTTTGGTCTCCGGATTGATGCACGAGGTGGTTTACTACTACCTGACGCGTGCGGTCCCCACGTGGGAGGTGACGTGGTTCTTCGTCCTGCACGGGGTTTGCGTCGCCGTGGAGGTGGGGATGAAGAAGGCCGCGCTCCGCCGTGGATGGCGGCTGCATAGGGCGGTTTCAGGGCCGCTGACGGTGGGGTTTGCGGCGGTTACCAGTGGGTGGCTGTTTTTCCCGCAGGTGATTAGGAGTGGGCTGGATTTAAAGGCGATTGACGAGTACTCGTTTTTGGTGCGTTGGATTGGTGACCGGTTACCGGCAATTCCCTAAAAGTGCTTTTCCGGCAAAAAAGCGCTTTTCAACAATTTCTTTTTGAAAATTATATTTTTCACCCCTCAAGTTTGCACCTATCTCACATTTGGTTCTCTATGTTCACAAAAAACACATTTGGTCCCTCATGTTTCAATAATATAACGCTTTTGATCATTTCCGTCAATTTACCGTTTGTTTGTCAGTTTCCGTTAATTTACCTTTAGTTTGTCAGTTAAGTCATTTGTGTGCACATTCTTGATTCCATTAGTTTTAACGAAAATTTGACGGAAATAACTAGAAGTGTTGAATTTTTAAAATATGAGGAATCAAATATGTTTTTTGTGAACTTGAGAGACCAAATGTGAAATCGGTGTTAATTTGAGCGACTAACACGTATTTTCCCCTTTTTTTTTCTCTTAATTGTGAATCTTTATTTTATTTAATTTGCATATTATTTGTAGCCAATGAAATTTCTCCAAAATTGTATCGGATAAAACAAATATTATGGAAAAGAATTATATTTAAGCTCAACTATGATATGATGAAAATTAAAGAATTTCAATGATCACTTACCCTTATCACTCATAATTTGTCAGATACAATTTAAAAATTAAAATTAATATTTTAATCACACTACGTATTCTTTCGTAAAATTCACATATATTTATTAGTTTTCTTAATCTTTGGGCACAATTCAAAACGACAATCATTTTGTGTAATTAGGAATCTTTTAAATACTTTTTTATTGGGTAAATTATAATTACACCTTAAAATAGGGTTAAATTACGAAAAAACCCTCATGTTTGAGTAACTACAAGTCTACAATCACACATCAAGTATAAATCTTCTTACACATCCATCCTTGCGATGTCAAACTTAGTGAAAACTTCTAGATTATATGGAATATTCTTTATTTTGTACCCGCTTTATCCCATTCGACCTTCACATTTTGAAGTAAAATGATTATAAGATGTGTCTCTTGGCTTGTAATTATTAGATTATGGTGCATCAGAAAACTGCATTTTTACAAAACGAGTATAAACGAAAGAACATTCCACGAAATCTGGAAGATTACGTTGAATTTGACACCATAAGAGTGGACGTGTAAGAAGATTCATAGTTAATGGGGTAGTTATAATTATCCAAAAATGATGGTTTTTTTTCGTAATTTGACTATACATCAGGGTGCTGGTTGTAATTTAACCTTTTTTTTTTTTTCTTCTTTCAATTTAATAATTGATCCTGCTGAGAGACAAAACATTGAATCCAGACGAAACGACGTCGCATCAAGCAGCTTGTACGCCTATCTAGACCGTCGCCGGTGGCCGTAATTTTGGGGGTACTCTTCTATTTCTCAACGTATCGATTCTCCTATCATGAATTTTCCAGTAATTCTCTTGGGTGCTGCAAAATATAATTGGATTTTAGAATTATGGATCTCGAATACTGATTTTTTATTTATTTATTTTTGGCGGCTCAAATTTCATCGTGGCAGGTAAAACGTCACCGTATTGTGGCCGGGGGGGAGAAAATTGGGGATGGGGTTCTTGATAACAACCCTCATCTTCGTGGTGGTTGGGATTATTGCATCCCTTTGCGCCAGAATCTGCTTCAACAGAGGACCTTCTGCTAATTTGTATGTTTTTACTTTACACACTTTCTTTATTGTCGAAAAGTTTCGATTTTTATTTTTTATTTTTCTTCTCGAATTTCTGAACCCTAGTAATTAACTAAACCATCATTTCATTAACTTGATTAACTATGTTCCTAATGTAACTATCTTGTGTCCATGAGAATCAACATATAAGAAGAGTTTCAAGCTGTTGTTTTTCTAGTGTGTGTGTGTGTGTTATCTGAAATGTGAAGGAAATCACATCCAAGATTTATATTTGCTTGATCAGTTGTTCGTAGTTATTGAAACTTGCATATATTTATCGGGTAAATTACGGCCACCCCTGAGGTAAGGTTAAATTACAAAAAAACCCCTCATGTTTGGGTAATTACAACTATCCCCTCAACTATTAATTTTCTTGCACATCCAGTCGTCTACCTTTACGGTGTCAAATTCAACATAATTTTCTAGATTCCGTGGAATGTTCTCTAGTTTGTACTCGTTTTGTGCAAAAATGCAGTTTCTGATGCACCATAATCTGATATATACAAGCCAAAAAACACATCTCATGATCATCTTGCTTCAAAATGTGGAGGTCAAATGGGGTAAAACGAGTAGAAATTGGAGAATATTCCATATAATCTAGAAAATTCCACTAAATTTGACACCGGAATGGTGAACGTGTGTTTTTTCATAACTTGACCTTACCTCAGGAGTGGCCGTAATTTACCATATATTTATTTCATGGGATGTTAAATGTTTTATGAAAGAGTAGAGTAAACCGGTGGGTTATTTGTTGATTGTCGTAGTTTGTAAATGTGTATACACATATTATTCGATAGTTGAGTACTTGAGTTAGATACGAAGTATTACGAGAAATATGGTCAAAAAAGAAGTACAATTTGATATCAAGTCAAGTCATTTATTCTCATGTAGCTAATTCGTTTTTTGCGATGCAGGTTACACCTTACTTTGATTATTACTGCAACGGTATGCTGTTGGATGATGTAAGTCGTTTTTCCCCGTTGTTTTAAGTATCGAATATGCAAATACACTGCACAAAAACGATTGCCCTCGTAGTATTCGTTAAAGAATTGGTGATGTTTCACACTTGATATTACCACAGAAATAGTGTTGTGAAATTTGTTTAATAATCTCGTTTTTCACTCGATATAACCATGAAAATACTGTCCTGAAATTTTGTTAAGAATCTTGTCAATGATGTTTTTCACTCGACTCAAATTTGGTTAAGAATCTTGTCATATGCATATTTTTTTTAAGGTTGCACTAAATTTTACTATACACTTATTTTTCCGAACCTTGCTCTAAATCTGATAGTGAGTATGTCTATCCTTCTATCGAGCTTTGGGTACTTAATTTGACGTTCGATTTTTTTTTTCCTTCTGGATAAAAGATTTGGTAGCTATCTTTCGTTAATTCCCCATGTTTTTTCTTCTTCTTATTCTTCGTGTGCAGGTGGGCAATAGTGTATTTAGCGCAGATGAATCCGCTAATTGTTCCGATTTTGAACGATGCAGAGTGATATGTTTTGGTTTACGAGAAAGCATGTGCGTTCGTTCCCACTTCGGAGGCTAAATTATTGTTTGTGAATCGAAAAATTGGAGAGTGATTTATATTACTTGCGTGTTTTATAATGTGCTCTATCACCTTTCCTGTAAAAAGTTTCTTGTTATGATATTTTATGTTTTATTTTTTTCCAAAAAGAAAAGAGTAAATTACAACCACCTCCCTGAGGTAAGGCTATTTACAAAAAAACCCTTCATTTTTTTGAGAAATTACATCCACCCGGCAGTTTGTAATTTTTTTACATCCACACCTTACAATTTTTGATAATATATGAAGTTTAACTAAATTTTATCTCGATAAATAATAATAAAAAATTTTATAATAATTAAGCAATGTATTTTTTTTTCGATAAACTATGAAGTTTTGCTCTAGCTCATTTAGAAAGAAAAAAAAAATAAGCTACTCGATTTCGATTCACTTAAAGTTCATCCACAACATTATTTATATATGTTCAATAAGTAAAATTACACTCTCTCGTATAATAACTCGCAAATTAAATAATAAAAATTAATTTATTCAACTCGATCGAGACAGCAGGAGATGGGTCCCACATACATATGTGACTTGTGAAAATCAAATAAAAAAACAGAATTTCAATATTTTATTTATTTATATTTAAAACCCTAAAAAACTTTTATTTTTCTCTCAGCCCCTCACAGTCCAATCGGAGCAAAAGACAAAAAGTACCAAATTCACTCATTTTCCTTTCTACACACCAACCAGCAAAGCTCTGCTTTAATGGCGACGCTCAGATTTTCCGGCGCAGCGTCCGAATTAACCTCTTCTACGGCCTCCATTGCCGTCGGATTTTCCCCATTGCTATCCAAAAATGCACGCCGCGGCGTCTCCTTCTCCAGGTGTCGCCGGAAGAGTTTTGGCAACGACAAACGGCGGCGGAGTGGCGGGGTTTATTGCTCGTTTATACCTATGGATACTGCCAGGATTAAGGTCATCGGAGTCGGCGGTGGTGGTAACAATGCCGTTAATCGCATGATTGGCAGCGGATTACAGGTTGCCTCCAATTCTTCCTTCAACCCTAGTGCTTTTTTTTTTTGTTTAAATTATGCGTTTGTGTTCTTCCTTACTTCTGTAATGCAATGAGGTAGAGTAAGTGTACTTGGAAATTGGAATTAGCTAGTCTTAGTGCCATTACAAAAATTTGCTTATTTAAAGAGAATTTGTGGTTGAAAAAGATGCTAAATTTGAATACTGTTAATGAATGCTGATAAATGTCAGCAATTTCTTCCCAAAATTTAAGAAATATGTTCTTTCTAAAATTATGCGAAGATGTTTCCTTTCTTTATGTGATTGCCATTTCTCGTTTTCGCTCACATCCATATCAACACGTTTATCGGTTTTGTGCTTTGAATATAATAAGCTTTAGAAAGTTACTTTAATTTTCTTCTTATGCGCATGTAAACTCCCCCTCGTTTTAATGTTCCAATGCAATTCGTTTTCCAGACACTTTATATAATTATTGTGTTGTCTTCTTCGTAATAAATCAAACAGCAATTACTTCTTTCTTAGACATATCGTTACACTATTGTTTAATGCATTTTCATCTCATCTTTCCTGATAATATAAATTCCTGTCTGTGTTACGTGATAGGGAGTGGACTTCTATGCCGTGAACACGGATGCTCAGGCTCTATTGCAATCTGTTGCTGAGAACCCTATTCAGATTGGAGAGCTTTTGACTCGTGGACTTGGTTAGCATCTTTCGACTTGCCACGTTTTTCTTTTTCGGTTCTGAAATTTGAAACTTCCCATCGCTATACATACTATAAACGAAAAGAACAGCATCAGCTTTGATTTGCATAATTTGATGTTTACTTATCCATCTAACTAGTCATCCTTGATTCTCTGGTTTAACTAACTGCTTCAGATTGCTAACTGTTTGTATAAATTTACCACTTGCTGGAATGCAGGTACAGGTGGCAATCCACTATTAGGGGAACAGGCTGCAGAGGAATCGAAGGAATCGATTGCCAATGCTCTCAAGGGATCGGATATGGTGTTTATAACAGCTGGAATGGGTGGTGGTACAGGTTCTGGTGCTGCTCCTATTGTCGCACAAATAGCAAAGGAAGCTGGCTACCTCACTGTTGGTGTTGTTACCTACCCTTTCAGCTTTGAAGGCCGTAAAAGATCTTTGCAGGTATCTGCTATTTCCTTTTTCTTACAGAGCTTCCCCTAAATTGGATAAAGAACTACATAGGTCTCGTTCTTTAAATTCTGTGGGTGGCGTAGCCACCGAGATTAATGCAGTCAATTATGTCTCTCCTAGAAGTTGGTTAGCTACCTCTCATTTTGTTCTAAAAAAATCACAATTATACTGATTCAAAGGATGAGAATTGCATAGGGAACACACCGTTAACCAAGCTAAGAATATCCCGAAAAGACATCGGACAAAATTCAGAAGTATCTAGATACTGATTCCATTGTCTTTTTGCTAAGCTTTAACGGGGAAATGCGTTGAACAGAATTTGCTATCAATAGGATACAAATCCGTCGAGTACGCTTATTATGTCTTTGTTGGTTAGGGGCTGAGGTTTGCTCGATTGCTTTCCTTTTTCTATGTTGTATTTGTTCTTGTAAATTAAACTTTGCGAAGTTCAATTTTTGATTTTTGATTTGTCGATATTGGCATCATGAGGAGAATGGGTGTTTTATATTAGCCAAACAGTGTTGATGCATTAATTCATTTAGCGAGAAATGTAATTAATGTTTATTGGACGGTTTCTTGAAAACTGTGGTCTTTCGGGCCCAAAATTTGTTTTAATCTGCATCTGATTCATTTTCAGGCTCTTGAAGCAATAGAAAAGCTCCAGAAAAACGTGGACACACTTATAGTGATTCCAAATGACCGTCTCCTAGATATTGCCGACGAACATACTCCACTACAAGATGCTTTCCTTCTAGCAGATGATGTGCTCCGTCAAGGTGTCCAAGGGATATCTGATATAATCACGGTAAGTGCCATGCAAAATACTGAATTTTACATATTCTCATATTTAAATAAAATCTAAAACCTTTCAAATCGACGCTCGTTTTTTTCTTTTCTTTTTTTGGCAGATACCTGGTTTGGTGAATGTGGATTTTGCGGATGTTAAGGCAGTAATGAAAGATTCAGGTACTGCTATGCTTGGAGTAGGAGTTTCCTCTAGCAAAAACCGAGCCGAAGAAGCGGCCGAACAAGCAACTCTGGCCCCACTCATCGGCTCGTCTATCCAATCCGCCACCGGAGTTGTGTATAATATTACCGGAGGAAAGGATATAACACTGCAAGAAGTAAATAGAGTCTCACAGGTAATTGATTGGAGTACCTTTTTCTCCGTCTTTTTCACCTTTTATTATTTTCAAATTAAGATTTTCTTTTTCTTTCCTCGATTTTGTATAGGTTGTGACGAGTTTAGCAGATCCGTCTGCGAATATTATATCTGGTGCGGTTGTGGACGAGAGGTACAATGGGGAGATTCATGTTACGATCATAGCAACTGGTTTACACAGTCGTTTCAGAAGAATCTTCTGACTGATCCGAGGGGAGTAAAGCTAAACGATAAGTCCTCTGGGAAAATAGACGGAAATAAATCCCCCGCCACACTCGGTTCATCTTCCACACGTGCCACTACTCAAATGCCTACTAGGAGGCTCTTTTTCTAGGGTTTTTTCTCGTCTGATTAGCTTTTTCTTTTTTCGTTTCTGGATTTTTTTTCTCTCCCAATTCCTCGATCCAATTTGTCGATGTAATTTCAGTTTAAGCCCTTCGGCTTTCATGATTGATGTACATGAAATCAGTTTCTTCTACTGTAGTAATACCCGAATTTCCAAGTTTCCTCAAAGCATTGCATTCATCTGTTAATATTTTCCTATACACAAGACCATGCTCGATAGTTGTTACTGTGCTATGAAACGAAGGAATACGTATATGGACTAAATCGGGTGCATATTGCACTCGTATTAGATCTTATCTAGCTAATTTACTTCATATGAAGCTAAATTAGATTGATAGTTCAGAATTGAACTTCATACACATTTAAAACCTCATCGCAAAAATATAAGTGGTACAACTCAACGACAAGATTTTGCTCATTCGTATACAGGAAAGAGTGCATCCGCAATTAACACACACCGTCAACACAAACATAAACAACATACAAAAGAATCAAAATGTGTTACGAACGCAACCACCAAAACCATCAAAGTTTAAACCAATGCAGTTCAAGCCACAATCTTCTTCTTTCTTTGTCTAACCATATCGGAGAGAGCATTCACAATTTCACAGTATGATTATGAGATTTGCTCAATTTTTTAACAAGAATTCTAATCACTATATATCCCGTAAAGTTTTTCCTATAAAAAGTAATCTGGAGGTGGCTTCCTCATCGGTGCTCCTCTCTGTTCCTGCATTTCATCATTCACAGTATATATTTCACGTCTTTCACGACAGGCACATTGTGTGATTTCGTGTGTGTGTGTGTGTGTGTGTGAAAGAGAGTGGGTTAGAATTACGCAAAAGTACCTGCGGTGCTGCTTCAAATACACGAAACTGCTTTTCAAGATTCTCATTTAGCTCGAGAATCGCAGCTACATTCCCACATCTGCACCACAATTAAAAAATTCTTAACCAAAATTCAAGAAAGACGAGAGAAAGAAAAACCCATCACCGATAAGGCGATAATATATATTTTTTTTCTGTACCTGTAACAGTAATTTGGAGCGGACCAGACTGTAACTATCTGTTCGTTAAACATCCACTTGTAACCTTCCATTACCAGCTGATGGGCACGGCATATGTAGTCGATATTGTTCGAATGGTTAAATGTAGTGACGACACTGCCGCCAAATAAGAACCCTGCGCCACGTGGACTAAGACCCCACCCATCAACAATGTCTTCTGGATCCGACCATAGCAGATCACACATTGCACCATCGTGAGGAACTTCTTGCTTTCGATCGATTGTCCGAATCTGATATACCAAATGATGTCAATATTTATCAAAACAAAGACAAAGTAAACAGCAAAACTATTGATTCTTTACAGTTCTTAGACCTGGTCTAGCGTGGAAATTGCAGGAGATAAACCGCCATGAACGCAAAATATTTTGTTCTCGATGAGTGCGGACAGGCTGCAAGAGACGGTAAACACAAGATTTTACCCAAAAAAGCATATAAGTTTTCATCGAACTAAAAACTATGTGTATATATTATTTATTTTGTACAAGTCCATATCAAACTCAAGTATCTTCGAAGATCAACCTTAGGTAATCAAAAATTTCTGTGCAATATCTCCAAACGTTGATAGAACCATATTTCCGTAGGCACTCGTCATAGAAACCATAAACCTGGAAGAAGAAAAGGCTAGTAATTACTTGATGAGAAATTATACCTAAGAAAAAATACACAAATTTATATATACATACATACATACATATATATATATATATATATATATATATATATATATATATATATATATATATATATATATATATATATATATATATATATATATAGATAGATAGATAGATATGAAGATTAAACCTGTGTTATCTGTCGGCTCTCATGGTTTCCCCTGATGAGAGTTATCCTGTCAGGATACCTTACCTGTCAATTCACCAACTGTTAGTTGAGTTAGCAGGTTACTTAACAGTCTTTCTGCGTTTGTACTTTTCATGATGTCTAGAAAATTGGGTATTATCTAAAATGAAGGACCATTTATATGCGAGTAATTTGGCAATCAAATTACCTTCAGGGCAAGTAAAAGCAGGAATGTCTCAACGGAGTAAAATCCCCGATCAACAAAATCTCCGAGGAATAAGTAATTTGTCTTCGGGCAATCACCTCCTACTTTAAAAAGCTCTTTCATGTCATAGAACTGCCCATGTATGTCACCACATATCTATATAACCATGGGAAAAGGGGTATTAGAACCGAGAACAGCATATCAAAGCCATTTATTTAAGATGAAATATCTTCATATCTGGATAGCCATAGCTACGAGTTATAATATAAACTCGTTCTGCATTTCTAATTGATTAGCGAAACAGGAAGAAAGGCCTAAATTGATATTTTTCTTTCTTCCATCTTTCAGTTTATTTGATTAATCAAATTAGATGAAATGCCTTGAGCTGAACAGGCAGCACCAAAGAATAAAATATGGTAAAACAGTTCATCAACTTAAACAATCAAGTAAAACGGGCAAATAAAGGTCTAAATTGGAACTTTTTTATTTATTCAATTCGATTAATCAACTCAGATATACCTCCCATTTAGATCAAAGTATACAACTGGAAATAAGAGGAAAAACACCAAGAGGCGTAAAAACTTATTGGGTGATGATTGATGATATTTCCTGCCTCATAAATTTCTTCACACGAAACACTGATGACAAAATTCACAAAGAAATCAGCCAAGTTCTTTCATCTGTTTCCTAGACAACTACGAATTAGCTTAGTAATGGCTGGAGTAGCATTTTATTAAGAGCCTTTGCTTTCTTCGCCAAAACGGACAACAAAAAAAGTTAACAACAATAGTAGATCCACACGAGGGGTAAAACATGTACACTGGTTACTAAAACGGCATCTACAATTACTGTAAATCTACGTTTCCCAAAATTAACGGGACTGCAAAATAGCATATATATTCTGTATACCAGCCCTTGCCTTTTATGAGGTTTCAACGGACACCACTTAATGGTCGAATAAATAGTCAAATGTATGATAGTATTAAAGCACTCGAATTCATTTTAAAACTTATTTGTCTCGAATGCTTGACGTCACTTCAATTGGCTTCTTGTTCTTTCCGCAAACCAATCGATCAAACTAACCATACCACCCCTACCCCCATATCACGCTACAGAAAACGAAAATAAACAGTATTACCGATGCATTAGTAGTATTTTATCTCTTCCAACACTTCTGAAACAACAAATATTCAAATCTACATTGAAACCCCTTTTTGATTTTCTTCCAAAATTGCCAATAATTTCAGTTCTACCACTAAACATATTTCCAATGTCTCAGTAATTGACAAATAATCTCTCCATAACTTTCGGTGAGGGAATCGTTGAACAAGTACAGAAAAACCCCAAATATCTTCCCCATAGCTCTCATAAAACCTCCAATCAAAAACCAAACCTAGATTCCCTAAACAACCAATCACCCAAAAAAGAATCACAACAAACACAAAATCAAAACCAAAACTCAATTCAAACACACAACACAGTAAACCAACACAACTAAGAAGAAGAATAAGAAAAAATCAGAGCTAGTAAATAAAAGTTTACTCTTCGACGAGACTTACGGTGACTGGAGCATCGACGCGCTGAACATTACTCTCTTCGACGAGGATTTCCATGGCTTTGAGGCACAGATTCTTCACCTCGGATTCCTTGAGCGGTTCGCATCTCTTCAGCTGCTCTATCTGCCGGTCTAGGTCTGACATCACTCCAGATTCAAACCCCCTCCCACAAAAAAAACCCCTTTTTTTTACCGCGCAAATCGAATTCCTTTTTTCGAATTCAGCAGAATATACTGCGATTCCTCATCAAAGCAATTGGATTGAGCTGCTTCTTCTTCGTGATGGAGTGTAATTGACTGACGCAGGCAGTGGTGAGGTTCACTGCTTCCTCTTTTGGACTCTCTCTCTCACTCTCTCTCTACTCTCTCTCTCTCTCTAGCTGGCGCTGGGGTTTCGCAAATTCGTACTTAAAAGTTTGGGAAATTTTGATTTCCTCCCCTTATTTCTTGCCTTATTCGGTTTTTGGGTCTATATACAGCAAATGTTTCTGTTTGACCCTCCAAATTAATCAGGAATTATGATTTGATATTGGGTTAAATACAGTTTACACCCCTGAAGTATAGTTTATGTAACACTTACCTCTTACAGTATCATTTGTAACAATTACCCCTCGACATCAATTATTTTATATTTTAAAATTTAAAACACAATGACCATAACAATCTAATAATTATTCGATCGTATCGAATTGAAAACCAATTAAAATTAAATTATTGGAAAAGAATTAATGAGTAATATATATTGTATAATATTGAATGAAAATATATTTTTAAGAAATTAATGAACTAAAATAAATTTAAATACTTAAGATTACTATTAGTTATGTATTGATTTCTTAAAATTTATCGAATATATTCTATTAATTGGGCCAACAACAATTAAATGTTATTTATTAAATATGTCCCATCACAATAAAAAAAATAAAATTTAAATATTGCATTTTTCAACATTATTTTTCATTGTATGATTTAATTATTCTTTTAGTAATTTCTTTGAAGAAAAAAAGAAAATTTGAAGGTATTAGAATTTAAAATATAAACTAAATTATGCTTGAGAGGGGTAAGTGTTATAAATAATACCTTTAAGGGGTAAGAGTTACATAGGACATACTTTAGGGGTGTAAACTGAATTTAACCCTTTTATATAATATAAAAACCGGAGGTAGGGGTAATTTAGTAATCTCTTATTTGACAAAGTAAATGGAGGGTACATTCGTCATACAGAAAAAGAAAATCAGAGAAACAACGTGGACCTTGCGTTAGCTGGCTCCAAAGTAAAAGACGAAACGTCATCGTTTTACCCACTCATCAGAAATGAATAATTTGTTCTCTGGTTTGAATCCAATTGGCGGAAAAAAATTAAAATAATAAAAAAATAAATAAAAACTCGTTCCTATAATTTTAAATTACGAATTCTGACTATTTCAAATCAAACATATAAAAAAAAGAAATATTAGTTGAACAAACGTTGACGTTTTAAGCCCATCGGTACGAAATGCATACATGAATTATTGCTCTCTGTTTTTGAATGTGATCGCCGGAGACGACGACGACTACTAGTACAAATTCCGCCGTTTGCTAGCGGCGCCGGTTTTTCGACGCGGTTCCACAGTTCTTATAGCCGATACCGATTGAGAAAGGTATGATAATAATAATAATAATAATAATAATAATAATAATAATAATAATAATAATAAATTAGTAATCTCTTCGATTATCCTGAATTTAGAGAGGCTTTTGATTTAATAGTAGGGATGTGAACGAGCCGAGCTCGCCTGTTTTGGCAGGCTCGAGCTCGAGTTCGAGTTCATTTTGTCCAGCTCTCGTCGAGTTTTTTTTTTTTCTTCTTTTCCGGCTCAAGCTGGAGTCCAATCTCATTTTGAGGTTTTTTTTTTTTTTTTTTTTTTTTTTTTTTTTTAATTATTAGCTTTTTTTTTATTAAAGAATATTTAGATTAAAATAAAAAAAAAATCAAAATAAACAATAAACTGTAAGTATATATATTTTTTAATATTTTTATGTTATGTTTATATTATTTCTATAATTTTTTTATTATTATACATTATTTAAATAAAAAATAATATATAAAAATAAAAAAACTCGACTCGTCAGAAAGTTTGAGCTCGACAAGCTCGAAAATTTTGAGTTCGAGCTTTTCTCGAGCCGACTCATCGAGCTCACGAGCGGCTCAGCTCGTTTACAACCCCTAATTAATAATCCTTCAATTATCATGCAGTTGATCG